TGCCTGTAAAACAGTGTACTTGACCTGACACTTACCACTAAAACAATCTCCTTGCCAAGAAAGACGACAGCAATGAAAACCTGTGGGACCCTGACACATCATTTTCATGTATTTGCTGTAGGTATACAGGTATACAAACTCCTCCTGAGAATTCACATACCTGAAATAAAATGTTGAAAGCAGGTATTTGTTCAGAATAGGTTTTTATTTAGAATATATATTGTGTCAGATAGAATTTTGTCAGAACACAGAATATAACTGTCAAATCCACTAAAAATTATAAAATTTTATTGAACAATCAACTTTGGTGAGCTACTTAGAAAATTTAACATTAAAATTACATAGCAGGCATATTACAAGTCACAGCATATAATACTGCATTTGGATCATCCAGCCCAGTTTAGATTTTTTCATTCATTTAGTACTGATAAATCTATAAAGCATGAATAGGCAGGAATTCAGCAGAAAGAACTTGTTACTTATCTTATTACTAATACATTAAGAATCAAAGCTTATCAGCAGATAACAAGGTAATACAGATCACATTCTGTTATTATAAACACTACTAAATACATAATTTAAACTTAGCCATAGAAAGGAGTCCTGATTCCCTGCAATACCTGATGAAGCCAAAGGAGTAAGAAGTGCCCCGTCAGAAGGGACGAACCAGTTCCTGAAGACTTATATTACAGGGAAGTATAAATCAGGACTAATTGTGTATTACATGCATATAATACATCCTTGATTCTTGGAAGAAGGAAAAAACCAAACCAAACCAAACTTTATAAAACAGTGTTTTCTCTGTAGCAGTCCATGAATGCTCCTTGGTGAGTTTTGACCAGGAGGTTGTCCAAGAGATTGCTAGGATTTTGGTCTTTCCCATCAGTGTAGCTTAGTTTTCTGGATACCCTATAGAAAAGAATTGTTTAGATGATAAAGTAAATTACACAAAAATACTATGCTTGCTGAAACGCCGAAGAACAGAATGAAATTGAAACAAATCGCCAAAGCAAGATATCTGAACATCTTGACTGTGAACAGCAGCAGGACTCCTTGTCTGCATTCCTATGTGCTTTCAGCTGGAGAGGAAACTTTTCATCCTATGTCATTTTAATGTCTCAGTAATGCTACTACATTAACCTAAATTATACAATATCTATTAAACTTTGAGATGTAATTTTTGAATGTATTCACAAATAGCTAAAAATGAAAGATACAAGTGAGAATACAATTATTTCCTTGCATATTACTTACAAAATGGCATAATTTTTTTTTAACATCTATTTTAAACTATTTTGGTTTACATCTGATAATTAAGTATAGCAGTATAGCTGTAGGACAGCATTCACACAGAGCTGAAGAAAAGTTTATAGTTATGAACACTTCCTTTTCTGAAATATCTCTTTCATAATAATCTTCTAGATAAAGGCAATCAAGTTCCAGAGAGCAAGACAATATTCCTTTTCTTTCCACAACCATTCATTACAACATACAGCATTTTGCCACATGGCTTAGCCGTAAAATTTCTGAGGGTTCTGAAGCCATTAAAGAGCAGCTTCACTCCTGGGAACCATAGAGGGCTAAGAATATCACACCACAGGCCTAAGGAAGCTTGCCAGCTGACAGTCCATTTTGGCTACAAATCAGCAAACATGCATTTGTGTAATTAAGGAACAAAGAAACGGATTTTATTCCGGATGGCAAGAAAGCACTCCATGAAATCCTGATTTCCTACTCTTTTTCAAACATCTCTACTTACATGCAGCAAGGAAAGGAAAACCTTTTCCTTCAGAACAATTACTAATCTCATAGGGAGGGCTATTTTGTAGGGAGTCAAGAAAGAAGGGAGGGAAAAAAAGAGGGAATCCAAGAACGGAGCAGAAATTTACTCAGCTAAGTGGGCATACTCAACATCACAGAAACATCCTTGTATACTCATCAGCTTCCCTCCAATCTTCTATTATATCAAAAATAATCCAAATACAATCTTTATCAATATTGTTATATATTTGTAATACAAGCCTTTATGTTTTAATTCCATCTTTGCTTAAACTGAAGCTTTTTTCTATAAATCATGCAGCCTCTTTTCCAGTTAAGTTCTCCATGCAAATACTTCACAAATGTATTCAGGCTTCCTTTGAATTTTTAATTCGAACATTGTCAGAAAAATTTTATATTAGCTGTATGATCATCTCGAGTCTAGTGAAAATATTTCTTGACTGAGTTTGGGAAGGCAGCATATATTGTGGTGCCAAATTAGATCAAATTAGTGCCAAAAAGCCTGTCAAAAATGTTGTGGAAAATAAAATGAGAAACTGTTTAGAGAACTTTAAAGCTTTTTAATCCCGCTGCCTATTAAATTAGTTTGTAATTAAAAATCCAAGAGATCTGAAACTTGAGAATCCTTTAAAAGTCACATATTTTCTAAGAAAAGCAGATGTAGTAGGCCAGTATCCAGGGAGCTGGAAGGAGTGTTCTCCTTCCAGAGATCTAAATACACTGCCAATAGTGATAACAGCAGGAGGAGAGGATCTCAGATATTTTCCAAACAGAGCCACTGCTTGTGTACATAGAGCTAAAACGCAGGTAACTATGCCCAACTGCACAGAAGCTAACTTTTGAAAGTCCTTTTAAATAGCAATATACTGCACTCTCCACAGCCTAAGGATCTGAGAGGACTTGTTAGCTCAAACACACAGCCAAAATCAAAACAATTCTATTGTTATATCTAAAATAATAAATGCCTCTATAATGAACACAAAAGAAGGACTAGAATAGCTATTCAGTTAGGCCATCTTGTGTTCACTGGCCATCCATGCTGGAGTCTGGCTAGTTTTGTCCACAGACACTTGTCTCCCGGTGTTCAATCTGCAGGTTTGATTAGCTTGGGCTCTCCCAAGCATCCATGCTGATTTTCATTCTAGAAATACGCATGTAAGCAACAACCTCCGTACCTTTAATATACATGTAGAGCAGCAAGAATTTATTTTGAAATTTCTTTTCTTGAAAGGCACTTACCTTTGGTGACACTTCTGTGCATTTTCGGGACAGCTGTAATTCTTCATTGCCCTAGGCCAACCAGAGTGGGCATCTGCAATCCCAGATTCTGGTGATGAAAACCAATAGTATGAAAAGGGTAAGAACAATGCTGAGTAGCATGGACATTAGCGTTTGTTGTTAATATATTAGCCTATTAAGACATTGGCAATACTTCATTGGCATACTTCAACGAGCAAATTTCCTTATGAAAATATTCTAATGCAAAAGGTTCTGGCAAAACTTAATTTCAAATACGTTTTATACACTGAATATATTTAAGTATAAGCTAGGTTTCTTCAAAATGCTTATAATTTATCACCATTAGAAAAATGTAGAAGTAGAAGAAAATGTTGATACCATAAAAAATGTAATACATAAAGTATGAGTTAAAATTTGAGGGAAGCAAAATAAGACAGATTGGATAAGTCCACCTCAAATAATCAAATTCCTTGCAATTAATCAGTAATGAAAATGCAACAAGGCAAGAACCATGCAAACAAGTGCATTTCTTCTGCTATTTTCTTCTTGTATACCAGTTGACAATATTTCAAGCCACCTTCTTCAGTATTTTCCTTTACATGTTAGTTAATTATCTTGATGACAAGGTTCATAAAAATAAAATATGGAAAATAAACATTGGTGATTTTACTTAGCAGGAAAAAAGTTCAGGTTATGTTATAAACATGCTTTAAAAAAAAGGAAATTAAAAGATTAGCATCTAAAATCTTAAACTAATGTAGTTTTAGGTTTTTTTAATAATAAAATTCTACTGTCCTGAATTGGCAAAAGTCATTTTATCCAGATTAATAATCTAATTCACCTAAGCAAGTGACAGTAGCCATGCAACAACTCAATTGCAAGTTTTTGTAAAGCTGAAGAATCCAAACAAAAGCACTTGGTTATTCAAGTGTAGAATTAACAAACTATGCATTTGCTGCTGAACATTTAGATACAGAAAGTAAAAGCAACAGCAAACTTTAAATAAAATAAAAAAAGGAAGAGAGAAAAGCAGCAGATAATAAGCAACACTTTAGATTAACTAGGACTTTTCCTCCTAAAGAAAAGCTTCTTAAATAGCTGTTAACATGCGATTCAGGAAACCCATTTCTCTATAGATTCCTTACTTAAAGGAACACTTAAACATACCCAATTACTACTGAGGAAGAAATGCTGTCACCTAGACATTGGTCTATTGAGATCTGTAGATTTACCCTTTGAAGACGTAATTCATAAAGTCTCTGAAACTAACCTTGCAGGGAAGTACCAGGAATACCAAGAAAAGTTTTATCTGAAGAAGCATGAAATCCAGAGTCCTGAAAATAAAGCATCAACAGATTACATTGATGGAAAAACTCACTTATTTCACAGCTTGCCTCAGAAGAAATGAGGGCCTGATTTAATATTTAAATCACTAAATATAATGATTCCAATGGAACCTAGTAAACTTAATCTGTTTGCCTCACCTTGTCCATCTATAAAACGAATAAAACATCATCATTTCAGAAGGACAGCACCTTAATTAACAGGGTCACTGTTTAAGATTATTTTAACCAGTGACACAGTCTATTAAAATGTAACAAAATCTTTTATCGAACATTTTATAACAATTTTCAAGATTATTAAATATAGTGAGCTTCCTCACATGATCCAGGAGACCTGATACAACTTACATTTTAGCAAATAAAAATCCCCAAAACCCCAAACCTGTAAACCAACCCTACTAACCAAATAGGAGCAGAAGTATGCTGTCACTAGATTAAACAGCTTTCAGCTCTAATTCATTTTTAAGCCCTTCTCCAAATATCAGCAAAGAGTGCACAATCTTTTTTTTTACAAGGTCCTTAAGTACCTGATTCTGACAGTTGTGACTGTCAAAAAAGCTGGGGCTACTGCCATTGTATGTGCTCAAAAAGTCCATGCCAACTGTCTGAAGATTAACATTTTTTCTGTGAGAAATCTGTTGACATTTTTTTGAAGGAAAATAATGTTCTGGTATATTTTTCAGTCGCTTTACTGGTGAACAAAGAAGATCATTTTGAAAATTTCCTAGTCTTTTAACTCTGGGAATTGCAGATAAAGTTCGAACAGGCGAGTTAACAAGAGCATTTACAGTTTCAGACACCTGTATTCCTTCATATTTCCTTAAATTTGAAGCTCTCTGAAACCCAGGAAGTTTTGGAACAGCCTCAATACACAATTGCTCATAGATTCTGTCAAATTCTCTATCATACTGTGTATCGGACCTCACAGAATCACTTAAATTACTCTTCACTAATCTTCGTTTTTCTTCAAGGTTCTGTGAATTCAAAAGAGGTCTTGTCAATGTCAAAGGCTTTTGGATTTCCTTGGAACACAGTTTGTAGTAGAGTTTTTCAAATGCATCTTCGTATTTCTGAGGCATCTTTGAAGGACTCTGCTTCATGGACAAGGAGGAAAATGAGTGTTTGCGCTGGAAAGAAATTCGTCTTTCAGAAATTATTTTTTCAGGATTTATGAGCAAAGTATTTGATGCTCTTGCAAGAGAACAGTTTGTGACAGGTATAAAAGTGTTATTATTGCCATAGGAACTGCAAGTAGATGAACACAACTCTGAGGTATCACCACAAGGAAAGTCAATTCTTTGAGCTTTATTCTCTTTTACCAGATGAAGTGCTGTTGACCCTGAACTGGCAGTAGGTGTTATAAAATGGTGTTCTGAGGAACATTTGTAAGCCAATTTTTCACTTTCTTTGCATTTTGAATTCTTCACTAGGACAGCAGTCTGTAACTCATCTTCAACTAGAAATGCCTCTCCCTTTCTAGCCATAACATTAGGAAAAACAGTCTGTTTGGAGACTTTTTGGCCTTTTCCAGATACAAAATGATGTTGTAAACTTGAGGCATAGTCCATTTTGATTTCATTTGTATCAATGCAAGAATAAGGTACCAGACCAGAGAAATTATTAATGGAACACTTGTCATCACAAAGTTCTCTGTTCTCATTTCCAAAAGTTTGATTCTGGATGTCTTCACTTCTACTGCTGCATATGCTGGGTAGCACTTTCTTCAGTTTAAGAGGTCTGAACCCTCTTATTTTGTCTACAGTGACATTGAGCTTTGGTCTTCTAGAATGCCATCTTTTGTGCCTTAAGTGTCCAAACATGTATTTTAACTCTTTTCTCCAAGACTTTGTCATGAGCCTTTTAAGTATCTGGACCATCGCTGGATACAAGTCTGCAAGAGTTACATCGCTCCAGGAGCATTCCTCATCTGCAGACTGGTATTCTTCCAAGATGCTATCATAGCAAGTTTTATTCAGTTCTGGAGAAGGTTGATGCCTGGGTATGGTTATTGTGTTTGGTGAAGTGGGAAGACCAGAAAATTGTAACTGTAGAGGTCTGGATGAAGAACATTCATTTGGCAAATCTAGTTTCTTTCTGCAAATGGCAGCTGGGGTGCCTATTCAAAAAAACCAAATGAATCACAAAACAAAACCAGAAGAAGGAAAAACCCCCAAACCTATTAGGGCACTTCCAGTAATGTATTACATGACTTAGAAACAATTGCATGTGGTACAGATAATCTTACTGTAATGGCATATTTCATTAAGCTTTTTTGCCAGGCTAAATGGGTGATTAACATACAATCTATTAGGAAAAAACTGAAAGGTTTTTCCTAACCATATTGAATTAGCAGACTATAGAAGACAGAAATTAAGTGTTGGAAAAAAGAAAAACTATTCTAAAATAGCTTAATATATAGATATAAAATATTTTCATTGTAGAGGCACACTGCTTTGCTCTTTGTGATTCCTGACCAGAAGGAACAGTCTTATGCTACAGGTTTTGTTACTTGATTTCCATATTACTTGAAAGCTTTGTACTTAGCTAGTACCAGTGCAGCTTTACTTGCTGTAAAGCATGATGAAGATAATGCTTTTTGTAGTTGTTAGGCTTGAAATATTTACACCAAAATTAGGTTTGTATCAAATCTGGAGAGCTTCTGAAGAAAAAGTTTACTAGCGAAGTACCACTTGGAATACTTGTTACCAGCAGACCCAAAGCTGTTCATTACATTCCTTGAGTTTAAAATAAGCAGAACCAAAAAATTACACTTCCATTTAATTGAGCTTAAGGCTGCTGAATTTTGTAACCATGCATTTTTTTCCTGGGGCTATTTAAGAAAAGCTGGGTTTATGTATACAAGTTATTTATTTTCTATTTTTCAAATACATTTTGCCATAAGCAAAATCATGTCTAACTTCTCTTCAAGAATCCAGCCTATTGAACTTTTCTGTTGGATAAATAGTGCCTCTGTGTTATCAATAAATTAAATATTTATTTCTAATAAATTTTAATAAAAACACATTTTGTAACTAACGTATTTAACCAACACCCAAAAGATTTAGTTTTACCAATCAGATCTTGCACTGGCGAAGCTAAATGAAGACCTTCCGATGAACCTTGAGGTGCTATCTGAAAAACAACGAAAAAGAAAAGACACATAATCTAATATCCTGAATTTTTTGCACGTTAAAGGTAACATCAAAACCTTATTTGTGACTCCTGCTACTCTCTGCTTACTATACTAGGTCCTGTACAGAGTTATGGTCCTAAGGGGCTTAGTAAATTTCAGACAAGGAGGAAAAAGTCTAGTCTAAGACTTCAGTAAGAATTTTTAAGAGTTACCAGTTTAATCTTGTAAAGCTATTTATCATCTTTGCAACTTCTATGTTATGTATCATATTTTAATCCCTTTTCCAAATATATGAATTTATTCATGGATATATAGATCAATACATCTCTGGCAATTCCAGTAGGAAACAGAAGCCTTGTAACATAACCCTTTGCCCCCAATCCCCCCTCACCCCATAAAACCAAAATAAAGCTAAACCTCCTTTTTTCTCTACAAACTCAAATTTAGGCTTTTCAGAAAACTTACTGAAGTAAAGATCAACTTGCACATCAGGGTTCAAAGAACAAAGTATAAATGTAAAAAAAAAAAAAAAGTAGTATTTGGATATCATCTGCTTCGTTTCTTACAAATCATTGCTGTCAGAGACCTGAAATACTGTGATATTTACGCAGACAGCAAGCAGCAAAGAAACAATGATGGAACAGCAGAGAAGTTGTATTAGAATTCATTGTGCTGCACAGTTAGAGAGTTCTTATTTTATTCTAATTAGCTAATAACTTAGAACAGAACACGAGAAATATGTTACCGTAATCCACTTGGGAATTTTTCTAGCATAATCTTGTACTATCACATCCACTTGAACTTTTACTTTCTCCTGAATTTTCCCATCATCTACATACAGATTCTTAAAGGGGGGGAAAAAAAAAAAGAATTCGTAAAAACACATAGAAGTTATTGACACTGACAAACCCAAACATATTACTTAGAATTGTTTCAAACTAGTGTTATTCAGATGAGGATATCCAAACAGCATAAACTTATTTTTAATGTATACATTTTATGTCAAAAAAACCCCACCCTCCCTGAGAAGAACTGTATGTGAAGACATATATGAAGAGATAACTAGCTAGTTTACTGATGCAGGGAAAAGCACACACTGCTTCAGAAGACATACTGATAAAAACAAAACAAAAAAAAAAAAAAAAAGAAAAAAGTCCTAGCGTTAGGTTACAAAGCACTGGTAATTATGGCTGCAAATCTTTACATGTATTATTAACATCCCACAAATTCATATACAAATTAAGGTCTACTCTGTAATGCATCTCTAAATAAAATCTAAAAATATTTGGTGACAAATGGCAAACTTTTTTCATTAGTGAAACTAATTAATTAGTGAAATTAAACTTTTGGTAATTGTATTTGAGCAACCAGAACACAGGATTAGAATGGCTGCACACACAGAGTGTGTGTTGTATTTTTCTTCATCAATTCAACTACTCTGGTACCCATAATCTAGTTTGGGAAACAACAGCAGAAGATTTCAGTCTGCTTTTCTTACAGTAGCTATTATTTCAGATTTACTTTTTTTTTTTTAAATCATGTTACCTGTTTATGCTAGACTCTCAGGTGAATGATCATATTTTTATAAGTGTTTTCACTTTGTGATTCATCTGGTTATTCTTTTTCCATACCTATAATAGCCTTTCTCAGGGTTGCCTGTTCTATGCAATACACTGTATGGCTTTCTCTGGTATACTAATAATACCAAGACATAATATTACTTCATAGTGGTCTTCATGACATTATTTACCGAACCTCTCATTTGCTATACTTACTAAAAACGTGCATTAAGACACAGACTACATAGAGTCTTCGGCTGATGGTGCATCATCTCATCAGGCACGTGTAAGCTATTCAAATAGTTCAATCATTTCTATTGAACACAAAATTATTCCATTACATTAGACACCAGAAAGTTTTACCTGGAAGTGAATGTCTTCAAATTTTCTTCTTACTGCAACTATATCGGCATCACTTTCTTCATCTACAATTTGAAGATAAATACTAAATAAAATCTAGCTGAACTTAAAACCAAAACGGAAATGTTTCTAAACACACACTGTGTAACTACTGACTAAACTGGTTTCATTTTAGAAAATGGTTTTCTATACTAAAACTTTTTATCTGTACTCCATTTCTATTTCAAGTCCAATTGAAAAGTATGGTTTATAAGTTCATAAATGACTTGAGGGGAACAAAGAAGAGTGCAGATAACTTGCTTGTAACCAGTTCTTCAAGATTTATGCTAACCATTTCAGAGACTAAAATATTTTCAAAGCACTGCTCTGCAAGATTCATTAATGTATCATTCCCACTTATTTCCCACTACATTCCTAAATATCCCAATGAAGATAGTAAGGACCATCTACCACGCTTCCTTTTCTTAGTTTCTTATTGTCAAGACTGCCTTAGAACTGCTAAGGTGAGAAATAAGACAGACTTGAGAATATTAAAAAGTAAGTCCAAATCTTCCAACTCAATTTTTATGTATTCTATGGCTATTTTTGTGAATGAAACTCAACAAAATATTTTTTTGCTAGATGTAGCCAGAACTTCCAACTCATCATTAGCTAAAGCCTCAGTCTTTCATGATCATAAAACATGTGACTGCATTGTAAACCCTGATTTCTGAATTTCCCTGGCTCTCATATCTTTGTCCCACGATCGTGTTCACCACAGGGAGGGAAAACCTGAAAACAAAAACAATGAGTGAAAAAATCTTGGTTATGATACCTACCACATCACTGCCTCTTTATACTATTCTTAAATTACTAAAAACAGAATGAAAATCTTTTCCAGCTAATCCCATCTTCCCTTTTTGTTCCCTGTCGGTGCAATCATCACCTAAAGCTCTGTGGACAGCTGCTGCCATAGAGCTAGGATAAAGATACATATGAAAGAAATGCTATCTTTGTGGGAGACAACACAATTTCACATCTTCTGGTGAAAATGTTGAGCAATCAGAGGGTCGGCTTTGACAGTCTACCTGATCCCAGTAGAATTATTTTATTAGAACTGAAACCCATACCTGTCAGATCATCAGTTTTTTCCCACATGACTAATGGAAGACAAAGTTGTGGTCACTTTATCCACAGGAAATCAGTGACTAAGCATCAATAGCGGAAGAAGCAGTAAGAATGTTAATGTTTTAATCTGGAAAAGTTTCAGCTCCAGTTTCTGTTGTAACAGCTGATACTCTCTTTCTGCCATACAGTCATCTTCCTCCGGTAGAATTGGGCACAAAACTAGCAGACTGATCCCTAAATGGTCACTGAGATGACCAGATTAGAGTGCTACAAAAACAGGAGGTTCTTGAGATAAAGGTAACAACTCGTGTCCAGGAATGATTGACTCCATCACGCCAATTACAAATTATTAGAAAATAGCTTGTATCATAGAATGAATTGAGCTGTATACAAGTTGAATACTCTTCGAGGTGTGAAACCTCACAAAAGCGTAATTTTAGTATGTCTTCAATGTATTGTCAATCATACTTCAAATCACTGGAACATTAATTATTAGCAGAGGACCATGGCACAGCACAGAACAGAAAAAAGTGAAGTATATTCTCCAGGGAACCTTAACATGTTTTTAAGGGCCAAAAGGGAAATTCAGGAACACCTCTGTTCCTCAAGTGCAGAAGAGAGAGGAAAAATGAAAACTCCCACCTTCCTCTCTTGAAAATTTGACCTATAATATAGGAAGTTATTTCACTGGAGATGCACTCAATACAATATCGTTACCTAAAAAATGTATCTTATTTAAAAGATGAACATGTTAGTAAGGGGGTTACCGTAAATTTTAAGTCTTGACTTTGATGTGATCTTCTAAACTTAAATACACTTAGATAAATATACAATTCAGATTGAACTTTCCCCTTTCTCTCCAAATAAATTCATTTTTCTGTGATACAATCCTAATAGATACAAGAAATTGTTCACATACCACTATACTTTGCCATGCTACTTCCTGTGAAACCAAAGAAGGTAGACCTAATAATTTTCCCTATTAAGGACAGACCAATACTTGCAGGTACAGGTGAGAGCTGTTTCACTTTATTTATACCTGCTATTGATAGGCTTTGCATACTTTTAGAACAAAAATACTGTATAATACCTGGAAGAAACACTGCCTTCAGTGAGAAGTGTGAAGCATTCCATATGAATACTAAAGATGGAAAAAATCTGCTAAAGTTTTAGCTAAAGCAGCTAAAGAGACACTTTTTTCTTAACAGTTAGCACGCCTTATTGCTAACCTTTTATACATTTAAAAAAAAACAAAAACAAACAAACAAAAAAACCACAAAACAAAAAAAAAAAACAAGACACCTAGGTGAATTCCATTTTTAAGTGAGGAATCCAATCCCACATCTCTAAGAAGCTAATTTCTAGGTCTTACTGTATTTGGAGATAGCTGGGACTCACCGAGGCTGCTATAAATCCTCTCCAGTCTCTTCCTAGAATATTCACAAGAGAAGGAGGAGGAGTGGATAATTATATTATTGTACCCTGCTATGAAGATACCAGAGTCTGAACTGCATCACTCATTTATCCCATGAGTGCAAAAGACACAAAGGACACTTGCAGAAGCTAAGCTACAGATGCCTCTGAAATTTGTTTCCTATATTTGATTGCACAGGTTGAGAAAAAACGAAGTCACTTTTTCTAAATTTGCAGAAATTATTTTATCATTCAAACAGATATTTGAAATTATCCCCTCAAATGACAGGAGGACAGAGTTCAGATTGCTATTTTCTATTTTCCCTCAGAGAAGTAATCATCTGTGGTGGAGACAGCTATGTGTATGAAGCACCTAATTTATACCAGAGTATTTAAACACCAGCTAACCATATTTTGCTGCTCTTTTAATCATTAAATGCTGGTTACCACCTAGCCATAGTTTAATTTATGCAAAATGCACAAGAATCAAAAGATCTTGAGTAATACAAGTTTTAAGTATTTTAAAAACAGTCATTCAAAGATTGTTACCACTAATTAATACAATCAAATAATTATTTGAGAATACAAGGTCAAAACCACCCTAAACTTTGCAGACAGGCCACAAGACTGATGCTGAACTGTTAGAAACACTACTGAAGATGTATTGTTGCAGCTGAATGCAATATCTGCGTTTACCAGACCACTAGAAATTAATGTATATATTCTAATTATTAATAAAACTTCTATTGCCACTTATGCCAAAGTTTTGATTTCACTGTTCCTTTCTTTATTAAGAAAAGGCAATTGAACATATTCCACATTGACTTTCCAAGATATCAGGGATTCAGGACTGAGATTTTAAAGAGGAATGTGGATATTGATTTCATAGTACTACCAGTACTTCAGTCTCTTGTTATTCCTATTATCTGCTTTCTGAAAGCGTACAGAACACGTATTAAAATTATTTTCACTATATTAGAAAATTATGAAAAAGTTATTTGCAATCTTTTTCAAAAAGTTAAAAAAAGGTAGCTAAAAAGTAAATTTAAAAACCCACCTATGTCAGATGTATCCACACGAGAGTTCTCAGGAGATTCCTTAAAAGCACATGAAAGAAATTTTAAGACCTGGTAGCATAAGCTATATTAACTAGTCTGTAGAATTTTCTGCTCTCACTACTTGCTCAATTTTTTTGGGGGGGGTAGTGAAACAAACCCAGTCGTATTCACAAACTATGTCCAAACGACACCATCTTTATTAACAAATCTGTACACAAATTTGTCTTGATTCACATCTGATTACTCAATGGGGAAAACTATTTTCTTTCCAGCCATTCTGTATTCAGACGAATAATGCAAGGAGAAGCTATTACATAACAAGAGCAAAAAAAACAGTTGACAGATGAATTCTAATCACCAAATCTTTATCAGTATGTACTGGGGATTTTCTCTGTGTTCCAATGTATAAGGAAAATTTCTTAACTGCCCACTTTAAACAATTCTTAATTGCCTACTTCAAACAATCTATATATACTTCAAATAGGTTTTTTGCTCTATTTTGTCGAAGTCTTGATAGTTGCATAAAAAGCTCATTTATATGGATAAGGAGCCCTTTCTAAATGTTTACAAACTACATCTGACATCTTGTTCTTCAGAATTTCTTTTAAAAGAAATCTAAATTCATTCTGTCCAGTTCAATCACACAATTAGTGTATTGTGGGTTAAAATGACATCAATAAAATGAGACAATCCTAACTACCATCTATGTAGAACAAATAATTAGGAGTGACCAGTGAGATGGGCCATATCACACTTCAAATGCTGAATATTTTCTGCTTAAAAAGATAAGGAGTGAAAAGAAGATATTCTAGACAACCACAGATTTTACAAATAATAATAATTTAAAGAGTTAGACACACATATTGCCTAACTAAAAAGACACTTGATGGTTTAAAGCCTATGTCCAACTGCTCTATCTCCCTTTAAATAAACTTAAAAGAGTAGAACTTAGCTGAAATCCATGGCTGATATCATGGCTGTTATTTGATACCCCAAATATCACATTGGGAGTGAGGATATGTAATTATACAAAACATATGTAAAGCCTACCACATAAACAACATGCATACGAACATAGTAAAAATAAAAAAAAAAAATTGCATGAATCCACCATCACAAAATGAATTAGACCACCACATATAGAAGTCCAGAACTTGAATTCATCACCATCTCAAAGCACAGAACCTATCGGGGGAGGAAACAATCAGGGGAAGTATACTAGATGATCAACACTAACCAGAACATGAATATTTTAATTTTACATGAACATGTACCTGGTAAGTAAAGACACATCTTTCCTAAAATAATGCAGCTACATATGGGAAACTACATGAGGGGAAATATAAAGCAATTGTTTAATAAGATACCTGAATTTTGAAGAACTGCAGGGAAAGAACTGCAGCAAAATACTTCAAGCCCTCAATTTTTTCAGAAGTACTTACTTAAGGAGAACGAAGTGATTCAATTCAGCAGTTAGTCGGTCTTTAAAATCTAACTTTATAGCTATGGTACAGAACCACCTGCTCATGATTAATTTCTTAGCTTCTGACTACATAAATACATTTTTCCAAAGAGGCTTTATAAAAGTAGGTGCAATGTTGTGCCCATACCTGATGTGTTGTTGAATGTCCATCTTCAAAATCACTGGTCTGTTGCTTTGACATATCTTAGCATGCATGGGAGGAACAAAATAATTCTATTTCAATTTGATAGGTCACAGATCAATGTTGTACCTGAACTCATTAATTCTTCATTTATATATACTTTTATTTATTTTGAAAAATATTTAACACAAACATTTAACAAATGGAGAACATACACAGGACTGAAACAAAGAATAGACAAGTGACAGAACAACATTCTAGTCAAATATAGCAGACTAATTCAGATCAGAGATGTACATCTACCATATTATGTTTTCTTCTTAACCCATGAAGCACCACAGAAAATAAAATTTGCCCCTTTATCAGGTGGTATCACTTGTAGAAAAGGAAGACAACTGCAAACTTTTTGTGCATTTTTCTTTGCATATGTTGAAAAGGATAAGAAAAAGACTAACTACTCCTGAAGCCTGAGCGTAAAGCCCCAAACCTCTATTGCATCTTTTTAATGATTTTTGGCAAGGGAGCCTTCCAAAACTGCTATGCCTGTCTTCCTGCACAGATAGACCCACCCACAATCTTTGTGTTCCCCCCTCCCCCATTTATTTCATAAGAAGCAGAAGAAATATAAAGAGTGCAAGAGCTGTCTAATTTAGCAGAGATCTCCCCTTTTCACATTTCAATCTATACTTTGTTCATTAGCTATCGCAAATCAAACTGATTTAAATAAAGCCCAAAATGTACTAGACACCCAGAGAAGTAGCTATCTTCAAAATAAACGTGACTTCCACATAAGCTTATTTCACTTAGCCTCTAAGCCAGATATTGTTGCTATTAAGATTACTCAGACTGAAAACTGTTTTTATGTCGCCAAAAAAAGTTACATTTCTAACCATCTCCTTTTTAGATTTAAAAAAGTTATCTATAAAAAGCTACAACCTCTCAAGTCTGTATACAG